TGCAAGCCTTTAACCTTTACTTTATATAATAAGATTTATATTCGACTTGTCATTGATCCACCTTGAGTAAGATATGTCCTTAAGATATTTCGTATTGACGGGTAAAAAATATGAAGAAGGGCTTTGGTTGTGAAGATATGACTTGAATTAGTACTTGTTATTACCCCCTTTTATTGTATGAATTTTACCCATTCTCTGGGCGTCCTGAGAATCTTGAAGAATTTGCGCTTGTCTGGTTTTGTACCCGCATGCAGCTCATTATGATAGATACATTCAGCATCACAAATGTTTACCTATTCATGTGCGTACTTCTACGTTTACCAATTTAAAAGGTTTATAAAGTGCCCCAGAAATATTAAGTTGATCATTTCGCGATAAACTTACTTGAGCAATTAGGCCCTGGAGGTTGTGTGCTGTACGGAATGCTGCGAAATCCAAAAAAATTCCATTTGTCACCTGAACAGAAGTACAGTAGAGGGGGATTGAAAGTGAAGTCGAAGCCATTTTGACACATCACAGCACAAGTGTCATCTCCACCAATGGAATTGCATACCAGAGCTCCATTTTGCGGAGGATCGAACAAGGAGCATGTCTTTCCTGTTGACAAAAAAAGAAAGGAAAAAACCTCTGAAGTAGAGGAGGCCCCCAACGATTGAAAAATCGCCCTGCCAATCTAATAGGTAAATATTTCCTGTTTTCTTTTACTTACTACTTTTGAATTATAGACATAATTTCATGACAGAATCATGTGATACTTTTGATATCGGTAGTATGTCCTATTTTGCTTCTCCGTCATTTTCCCGGCTAGGTATCGATTATTTTATTTTAATTGCGAGCATGAATGCGATCAATATTTGACCAAGTTTTTGTTTCTCCCTCATCCAAATCCTTTATCTGCATTTTTTTATTACGCTGCGGAAACGTTGTCTCGTACTCTCGCAAAAATAGTGAATTAATCGAAGTTTATAGATCTTCGGTTTCTCAAGGTTAACTCATACTTCGATAGCAGACAGCACAATGCTGCACAAAAACAGATTTTTTTCTAATACGTAGTCTAGTTAAATGTGTTGATCATAACGTCTGATGGCATGGTTCGAGTCAACCTGAAAAGGACTGCTGTCGGCGACAATGATTGACGTTTTGACATCGTGAGCGGAAGTCATCATTAGAGTAAAGGGCCACTTGTCTTCCGCTAAGCACGTTGTTACGTTACTTATATG